CTTTTTTTGTCCAGCCATTTTCAGCATTGCTGGAATAGGCTGGAAATTGGCTGGACATTTGTGGTAAAAGCCTGGAAAACAATGGACTTTACTTCCATGTAGCATGGAAAGTGGAACTTAGATTTTTTTGATGCTGGAAATGTGTTAAACTCTTTCTAAGTATGCTGGAAAAAACTTGTAAAAATTGCAAGAAATCTTACTTTATATATTCAGCACAATATTGTAAATTTACGAAGAAAATATACAATCATCATTTATTTTAATGCAAGTTACTGTAAATGATTTGAAATTTGACACTTTATACTTTTTATGTACGGTAGCTGAAAAAGGGTATCTCAGAAAAATGTCTATCCTAAAGACATAAATGAATTGATTGTTCAAAATACATATTATTATTTAAATAAATCTACATGAAGTTATGTACAATGAAATAATATCCATTTAATTACAGGCTTTAAGTTTAACTATAAATTAATTGAAGTCTGTGATTAAATCATTCAGACACTATAATAATCAAGATGGGATTGCATTGCTTGCCATTTTTAAATTGTAAGAATTCATGTTTTTGGATAACAATAAATAAATAAACAAAACAAAACAGTGCATGAAAGAATCTCATAATTATATATTCTATATTAAATTGACCAATATTTAGGAAAATAAATACTACATCCACAGAGATTTTACACTACACAGATCAGAGCTCTGATAAAACTCATTGACCAGCATTTTCTAACCATCTGTGCATGACCAATTTACTCCACTGGTCATTTCAGATCAGGCTGTTCCATGTGATTATTTTGGGGAGAGATAACATTATAAATTTCATATGAAGAATGTATCTAGAAGGACATTGCAATCTTTTTTGTACAAAAATTTGTAATGATCTTTAAAATCTATATATCTATTAGCTATTTGATATTTTCTTTTACGCTCAAAGAATAAAAGTTAAAATGATGAGCAGATAAACCCTGCTTTACATAATGATAGACCTGTCCAGTAACTGTTGTAAATTTTGAATTCTAAGATATCTGGGTCAGCAAAGAGTGCAAATGGATGTACTTGATATTTTAGCAGTTTTGGAGATATTGTAAAATGTTTAAGACTTTAAAGTGTTTAAGTATTGGTATGATAACAATTAGAATCACCTGGGACAAAGAGATATACAACAGAATCAGGTATTTATAAACCTTAAGTTACATCAATGCAGAAACAGGTTATATATCAAACTATCAACATTTGTAACAAGAGATCAAGGTTGTTTTTATATTTTCAACTTCATGCATTTGTTTTTTCTGATAATTGTTTTTAATCTATACATGTATAATCTGTAAAATATAAATTATTCAATGATTTCTTTATAATGTATATTGTTAAAATGACAATTGTTATTAGATCTTTTTCATTCCTACAAATAAAACAAATTAAATCAATTTGATTAAATAGGACTAAATGGTACAATCAGTAGTTTTGTACAGCTGAACAGGGTCATCATAATCATTTGTTATTTACATGTATGTGTTGTGTTCTCAATGGAACAATCTAAAATTACATTTTACATTATACAATTACATAACTTGCAGGCTGGGACATAAGTGCTGACTGTGAGAATTACCAACAGTGTTTAATAATGATGTGCAGTATTAATCCTGAAAAGGTATATTTTTAAATCTCAATACGTGTACTTTTTTATTCCATGTCTTTTCTTGAAAAAATACATACTGGGTGATAAATATTGTCACAAATTGACTTAATTCTTATACATGTACAGAGAAATTCTTAAACACTTGTGCACTATGAAATAAGATATACTGCATTGCTTTAGTATTTTTGAATATGCATAAGCATAGTTAATATTTAATAGTTAATACATTTGAAACATTAGATTTGATGTTATTAAAAGATACGATATATAACTGCATAATATTTATATGCAAGAAAACATAAGTCATTACCACATCTGTGTTAAATTTATTATGAATTTTATCTTTAAAGGTGAGAACAACCACAAGAAGTTCTAGGAAACACAGGCAGAGGACTGAAAATGGACATCAATAAAAGAAATAGTAATTTAAATAATCAGAAACACTTGAAACAAATTTAAGATTAAAACAGTTTCTCATTGACAGATTAAGAGCAAAATCATTGCTAAAATTTATAAGACAACATGAACCTAGCTACCAACCTGCAGCTAGAAAAAAAACTGTTTGTGCTTTAGTGAATGTAGGATGTTCTATTCTGTATTTGGACTAAAGGATATGTATTAAATTTTGTGAAAGAAATATTTGATCATGTTAAACTAATAAAAATTCCACCCCAAACATTCATGTGCTGAATTCCGTCAGAGAATTTTAAATTTTAAGAACATTCACGGAGGCTGGAATTAGGCTGGATTTTTTTCCATGTTATTCCATCAAGGCTGGACTATTTACCATGGTAAAAAGTCCAGCCTCTATGGTTGGCAGACACATGGAATACCCTGGAAAAAAATCCATACTTTTGTTCCAATACTCCATGTACATGGAAAAGCATGGAATAAAGTCCATGCTTTTCCATGGAAAACATGGAAAACATTCCATGCAGCATGGAAAATGTTCCATGTTTTTTCCCTGTTTTTCCAGCCCATTTTTTCTCAGCTTCAGGCTGGAAAATTTTGTTCCAATACTCCAGCCTCTTATTTTCCATGGAAATCCCTGGAAAAGCATGGACTTTTTACACCCGGGAATGCACAAGTCAGTATGAATATTTTTAATAAAGGCCAAACAATGATAAATATGTGACAGTTTGGTATCATATATTTGATTACACAAAAATTTATATAGATTTGAAATGGGTTTATACATGTTCCTATTACCAGGTTGACTTGTCAAAGCAATTTAAAAATTTGATGAAAGCTGAAATCCCAGAGTACAATGTTCAAGTAACAACTTTTAAGTATATGTTAATAGCTTTTAACTGAAATGCAGTATGATCCCTTTGACATTGTCTCTTAAGAGTTAAATCTATTATATAGTCAGTATACTACAATGTAACTTTGAAATTAAGAGTTTTTTGGGTTTTCCCAGCTAATCTAGGGGTTAACAAACAAACTTTTGCAGTGACAGACAATAGGTTGGCCGGTTGTGCACCTTGAAGCTTATAATGGTAAAAGTTAAATTATACCTGGAAAAACCCATATTTGCGGAGTTCTGGATATCATCTACATGTATTGACTTTGAATAAGTGCAATATTTTTAATTGATGTTAAAAGTGTCATTGTATATTATTTAACTTTTAATAGGTTATTCAAAAACCAGAAGTCAAGTTAACTGTGTATGGTGACCGTGTGTGAGGGGGGAAGGGGGTTGGGGTCTATTTTATTACTTACATACATTTGCTGTGAAGGTATAAACAAATCTCAAGAGAAAATTCTGAATGACACTTTAAAGGGACAATAAATTATACAATGAATGCTTTCAGATTTTATTTTCAAGACCTAAGACTTTAAATCAAAATCTCTTATAGTATCATTCAATATCACAAACATTCAATTAAATAAAAATGTCACCACACTCTTATCAGTTCAAATTTTGTTTGTAAATCAATGATTTATTTGTTATTGAATGTTTATGAATAGTTGATGTAATGGGTGGGGATTTGATATATAACTTTTAAGTGATTTTCAGAAAAGTAAATTTGTAATTTTAGTAAAATATTATAGATGTTACGGAGGTTGACAAAAATTAGCTGATAGTGTGGATTGTAAAATTTATCTATATTTTGTTATAAAAATGATCACAAAGTAAGGAATTTATCATTTATAATATATAATTGAAAGTGAGTTGGTATGACTGTGTGAAATCATCGTCAAACTTGCTAAAAATAGCAGCAGGAACATTTTATTCTGTTTGCATACAATATTCATGAATAGTTATTCACATAAATAAAAATTTAGACTGTCTATGTAACAATTCTTTCAATAAACAAGCATATATATATAAAAAAAACAACATACCGGTAAATTGAAATTTTTTATAAAAAATTTCATCTTGGTACTTAAGTATGACTTATTACATGCATACATGTGAACTCTCCCACTTTAAGCAGGAGACTATCACTGAAGGGGTATTTTCACAAATTTAAGAAATCTCCCTCTTTTTATCAGAATTTCTTCTTTGTTTATAGCAAATTCTAAAATCTCCCTCTTTTTGAAGAAAAATCTCCCACTTTATCATCAAAAACAGTTTGCATGTATGTACATGTACTTTAACTCCAGGAAGTAAGTGCTAGCTGAGTATATCCTGTGTATTATTCATGAGATAGTAATAAACTATAGTAAAGTTTTTACCATGGCTTTAAGTTTAGTAGGTAATTGCAGTCCATATCTACATGGTGTATATAACTGATATGTTAAACCAGCTATAGAGTAGGGTAAATAGTAAGTAGTATAGGTAAATGTACATGTTATCATGTAATTCATGTATATATATATCGTATGATACCATGTGCATACCTGGAGTTGATTGTTCTAAATATACTTACATTATATTAAAGTTAGATTCTCACTGTGGTTAAATGCATGGTAGTTAGTATTTAGTGCGTTTTTTTGTTCAGACTCTGTGAAAAGGTGTTTTTTTTGTTCTTACATAATTTTATATGATATTCAATTAAAGATGTGTGTTCTGGATTATAAAGTTTGAAATATTTCTACTGTACAGGGGATTAATTCATATAAACTTATATCTTTCTTACATGTATATCTTTTTGGAATTCTATATCAAATATAAAACAGGATGTAACTTTCACAGTATTTACTATAATTACTATTAAGCTTAAAAATGCTATGACTATATATTACTTATCAAGCCTGCAATAAAAAAGTTTTCCTTTTTTTTTTTTTGTTTGATTTTACCCATTTCATTATCTTTGATATATTGCACTAAGAATTCTTTCATGTTTTTTCATGTTTTTTCTTCAGATTGAAAGTTTTAATTTAATAAATTTGTATCTTTTATTTCCAGCAATACGGCCAACTTTAAGAGTGAAAAAAATTTGTTGGATGACATTAGTGAAAACAGGAAGGAGCAGTGGCAAGTCAAGAAGTCACCTACATGTATATGAATTTCGACACATTATTGGTGGATTGTTAGATTAGTAGTTTGATATCCTACTGTAGGATTTGTACATGTTGTAACATGTGATTTACACTTTAATAAAGTGTTATAGATAACACAAAAATTATAGGCAAAGTTTTTATCAAAATCGACAGTTGAATGGTTGATAAAACAAAATAAGTGTAGAGGTCAATATCTCAAGTTTAAAAGACCTCTTTGTTTTATTAAGCCAAATAGACGCGTCAAGTAGTGACAGTGTGCGTGAAGACGTTACAATACAACATGATATTTTATTGATACACTTTAACTAACTAGCTGTGATACATTTAATTTATGATACCAGTGGAATTGAATTGAAAGTATTTGAGTGGTCTCTAGTCATTGTTATAGTTTTACCATAAGGCGACATCATAATTGAACTGGATATTTTCTTCGTTCATACATATCTATAGTCACGCTTTACAAGGACGTAATAAGTGCAGTCTAAAATAAAAACAGTTCAGATTTTTTTTGAAAGAGTTTGTGAAAGGAGGAAGCAAAATGATATCGTATTCATCAATGAGCTTCACCTGTAATGGGAAGTTTTTATTTGTTGTGTTCATCGTAAGTGATGTTGGCATTCTTCATTTCCATGGATACGCATCTGTACTTTACAGTACAAGAAATGTCGCTTGTTAAACAAGATCCTGCAGTTCCTGGATTTTTCTCACCGTTCAAACCATTAAGCATGAAACTACTGATGACGGACCCTGTGAATCATTATATAATCGGCCCAACGGCAGAATATTTCGACGAAATTACGCACTTCAGTAAAGTTTTCTATTTCGTAACCCCAAACATGATCAGTATTACACATGTCATGGTCAGTATGGTATCAGCGAAAATGGTATCATCGGAACATTTGAGTAATCGGAGAATAGCAGTTCTTTTATACGAGTTCCGTTCTTGGCTAGATGATTTCGACGGGGTCATATACAGGAGTCATAGCCACACGCAAGGAATGTATGTTTCAAATCACAATACATTCGGTTATTTTGTAGACATATACAGTGATATATTAGGTGGCATATTTTTAATGGTTGGTATAATGTTCTATCTCTGGAAAGTGTTAATACCTGCAAATGGAAACTACTCGTCCTTACCGTTAACAAAGTCAGACAGTGGATCTACAAGCCCTGTGCCAAATAATTCACCAAATAAAAAATTTAATTTCAATATTTTGAATATTTTAACGGGCCATGAGCGACATGGTGGTGTTGCGTTGACTAAAAAGTACGTCTTTTTAAGATGTTTAAGTGTAGGATTAATGATAGCAGTGGCAGGTGGTTCCTGGGATAAATGCGTGGAACGATATACCGAGGTATTCCAAACAGATCTTTCGGACCCAAATCTTACAGTTAGTATATTTTCTTTCTTTCTTCATACTGATGTGTCCAAAATCACCAAAAATACTCAATTTCCCAAAATGGTGTTCAAAAATTCATAGTGACTGTCAGATTTCAAAATTTGACTATTGTCTCTGACAACTTGTTTTTTCAACCCCGCCCCAAAGTTCACAACTCAGAAAATTACCATTTTGGTTCACCAGCCTCAACTTGTTTTCAGAGGTTTTAAGGATACAGTATTTCTTTTAAAAGTATACCATGAATTCTTGAAAATTTGAAAATAGGTTGGTTAATTCTATTGAAAGATTTAGATTTACAAATTGGAAACACTTACACGTTCCTCTGCTAAAAATGGTGGACCAATATATAGAACCACTTGATATTTACCTTAATTGACAACTTCGCATTACAGGTCATTGATTAACAAGTAAACACTGCTTCTTCAAATAAAAGCAATAACTCCTTTCAATAAGAGGTCAATTTAAGATGGGTCAATATTTTTATTTACACACCAACCCTATATTATCAAATTTCCTATACTGTTATATTATAGTACAATGGCAGGATTTTTCAAAATCTTAATCTTGAGCAATATTTAAATTAAAATTTCTGTGTAAATGAACTTAATATTAATTACTGGGGTATTACCATTAATAATAAAGTTTAGCTACTAAATTAGACTAAAAAGTTATAAATTGACAATTTTGCATAACTATATACATGTATAATTTTCTATCATAATGGTCTTGCTATCCTGTTTAAACTTGATGATGTTTTGAAAGTTTTGATTTGAACACAGGCATTGTAAATAAAACTACTGTAAATCGATACATTGTTTACTTAAATGATATCAGATTTGTTAATGGAATACTGAAATATAATATAATAGTGTTAAGCCATGCTTTACTTTGATCCGACTGAAAATCTTTCAATTGATATTCTATGTAATATAAATACATTTGTATAAGCTCTATTGTAATTCCTTTTAATAACTGTGCACCAACAGTTAGGATTTTTTGTTTGGATTTTATTTGGGACATGCATTGTCTGGTACAGAAATAAGAAGTAGAGAAAAAAATCGTTTATCCTCAATTTTGTGATATAATAATTGGTCTATTTAAGATTTAATCTTTCTCAGCCATTAAGAACTTTATTGTTACTAATCCCACCATACTAATTTTGAACAAAGGTCTTTAGGATCTGTTTTTGTAATTGCATAACATTGCAATAGGTAGAAAAAATTAGCACACAACAACAAAGTCTGTGAAGTTTAACATTGTAATAGGGAAAAAAATAGCAGTGCACTCAACAAAGTCTATGAAGTTACAAAGGTTTGGCTTGATTTCAGGTAGAGAGTCTCTCATAACAAATTAATCTTTGTTAACATTACCTGTATGTCTGGTTATGACATTTTTGTACAGAGTATGACCGAATTCTTTCAGGATAATGTGCAGCATTCTTATACATGCAATGCTATAATATAATAAAAGTTTTTTGTTGTAAAGTTCAGAGCTTGATTTTCTTTATAAATTGAGTTCTACAATTTTCACTCATGTTAAGAGATACTGTATAAGAATGTCTTAGAATGTCTTATGATTTTTGTTATAAATATTTAAATGTCCCTTCTGTACTTATAGGTTATACGTATATATTCAGAGTTTTAAGAAATTAATTTTCAAGCAGATGAAGTGAAGCGGGAAAATTAGTTCTTAAAGCTCTGTATATAACCTATAACTGACTTACTGTTAGCCCTGCCCATTTAAATTGAGTGCATTATGTAAATAGGGGGAGTCCATTAAATCTGCTCATTTCACATATAAATTTAATACATACAGTTGAGATTGTAAATATTTTGAGAAAATTTAAACAAAATAAAGTGATTAACTTTGACAAACTGTAATATATATGTCCTGTGAAGCCAAATGGTACTGGTCACTGTTTTTGAGGTACTGTCAAGCACCTGTCTGCTGTTAAGGTTTGAATCCTGCAAGGGACATTACAATGCCCGTTCATGCTTGAAATACACCACAGGAGCACCAGTCCTGAGGTGTTTCTTAAAGTTTATAGTAAAGCTGAAAACTTACCTTAAAGTGACTGTGCTAATGACAATGTGATAATTTATTAAGATTAAATTTTCATGAATGAAACAGCAAATTGGAATAGACTCAGACTTGACTTACTCAGCATACACAGTAATTATATTTTGTTGTATAAAGAGGTGACAAAAATCTGAAAGTTATAATAATAATATTATCATTATGATGATTTCAGCAAATTCAGACAGAGGCATTTCACTCTGGAAGTACTTGGTTTATTATATACATATGGAGGATATGGGAGGGACAGACCTGGCTTCACATGGTGCTGTTGGCGGTCTTTGTGGACAGGATCTGGGTAAGATACTGATGGTCCTTCTGACACAAGTTTTATAATAGTATACTGTTAATTTCTAATGATTGATATGTTTTAACTCCTTTTGCATAACCATGATCAGTTTAAATTGAATTAGCATTTTGACTTAATTGATTCGTAAATTACAATAAGAATTTCACCACATCATATTTGTTAATAAAAGAGCATTTATGCCAGTATTTCTGGTAAAATATTTCGTTTTTCAAATAATAGGTAAGAGAAGGGGTCTGTCATTTATTGGCAAGGGTCAATGATTTCTAACTCAAGTTTTACTTGACCTTATAATACTAACTTGTACAAGGAAGTTATACAGTTTTTAAATTAGTCAACTTATAATGTGATATCATTATTGAAATGTCTTTTGTTGTCTTTTGCCTTCAACATTTCAAGAATCGGATGACATGCCAGATACAACACTCAAGTTTCATTCCTGTCTGTAAAATGATACTTCTCAGTTAACAAACAATTCATAGAAAGGAAATTTAATCTTTTTGAGTATGTTGTTTTTGTAATAAATAGTTTATGCTTTTCATTTCAGGAATTCCTGAATTTTTTCATGTACCTTGGCTATGTTATCATTGGAACCATCAACATTTTAAGTTATATACATTTATATCAGGTATGTCCTATGTTTCATATTTTTCTATTATTGTAAATTAAAATAATTTTGTGGGGAAAATAAAATTAATCAAGAATGAACTTCTCACCATACCAAGCTTAGATAGCGTTTCTTTGAATAGTAAATATGTTTTGATGAATTGATTCAATATCGACACTGATATCACATAATAATATGAGATAAGTTTTAAGGGTGCTATGCTAGCAGCATGTACAGAGTTTACGGTAGATTTCTTATAACAAAAGTTACTTAAATTCTGCCTCTAAGGGAAAAATGGCCTTCACTTTCCGAACTTTTGATGTACTTTTGTCTTTCTTATTTATTCAAAAGTGTGACAGCTCAGTAACGTTAACACACATGAATATGATAAGTTTGATCTATTGGTTATCAGGTGTACAGGTCAAACTATGCAGCTAAGCCTATTGGTAGAATTGGACAGCTTTTGTACACACCCTTGCATCGCATCACACATTGGATTTAGTATTCTCGTGCAGGTTGGATACCTCAAAAACTACTGAAAGGAATGGGTTGAAACTTCACACTGTCTTGTTCTCTGTGATTATCTCTGACATGATTGGCACAGGTCCCATAACTCTGAAATACCTCTTCACAGAGTTATATCCCTTTTATTACTGTCAAGCACTGAGAATAATCGAGCAGGCTGTCTTGTTATTTAAGTGAGTTTCATCGTTTAATGGTATTTGAATCTATATGCCCTTAATTTAAAGTGCTGGAACTGAAAGCGTCAAGCCTTTGCCACCAGTATTATAAGAGCCAGGCCAGCCTGAACATCCTTGCAGTCTGACCAGGCTCTATACTGTTGGTTGACAAGCATTAAATATTCAAATTGATATCCCTAGAATTGATAATGGACAGTCCCAAAAATGGAAGTGGGACAAGTCCATTTAAAATATTGAGCATGTTCAGGGTTGATATAAAGGCAACATTGTTTATGAATCATTGATTTCTCAGACTGATAAGAGATACAATAGCCAGTCAATAAGTCAATACGGGCATTGAATGAATCAGTAATGGGAGAGACACACCTGTCTAGTGTATTTTGTCATAATATGAGATAACTATGGTCATACTGAATTAACTATCATTGTTAGACATGACCTCATTATGATGTGATAGCATTATCGTAATGAATGTAAAGATACCGGCTCTGTCATATTGAATATTAGAAATATAATTAATTTCTTTCAATTAAATGTACTGTAACTGAATGCAGTTAGTTAGTTTATATAAGAAAATATAAAAGTTCTACAATGAACTTGATAGGGTGTGTTGGTGGATTCGGGGTTATCTATATTTACTTTAAAATGAGCTAAGATGGGGTGATAAGTGACAGCCCAAAATGTTGCCTAATGACCTATATAGTACACTACATTTCCATGAAGAATTATGAACTTTGCAAGCAATATATCTCAGACAAGATGTATTAAAAATTCGTTTTTAGCTCGACTTTTCTATGAAAAGGGGAGCTATCCTACTCGCCCCGGCGTCGGCGTCGGCGTCGGCGTCGGCGTTAGCGTCGGCGTTGGCGTCACACCTTGGTTAAGTTTTTCGTACCACCCCACTTTATTTCAGAAGTATTACAAGTATGGCTTTGAAACTTACCATACTTGTTCACCATCATAACCTCCATTCTACAGACAGGAGTACATAACTCTGTCAAGGTTTTTGACAGAATTATGGCCCTTTTTGGACTTAGAAAGTGTATGTATGAGCTTGGTTAAGTTTTTTGTGTACCACCTCACTTTATTTTCAAAACCATTGGAGGTATTGCTTTGAAACTGACCATACTTGTTTACCATCACGACCTTCATCAACAGACAAGAGGACATAACTCTGTCAAGGTTTTTGACAGAATTATGCCCCTTTTTGACTTAGAAATACATTGAATATGGGTAAAATCCACTTATTGCCTTAACCCTTTGAGATATTGCTTTGAAACTTTTAATGCTATTTCACATCATTACCCCCATCTGTACGCAAGAGAAGGTAACTCTGTCAAGGATTTGTTTTTAAAAATTAAGGCCTTTTTATCGACTTAGAATCTTGGTTAACTTTTTTTGTACCAGTCAACTTTTTTGACTGAACTGGTTGAGATATTAAATTGAAGTTGGAATACTTGTTTACCATCATGGTCCAAAACATGGGCAGGAGAAGGTAATTCTGTTAAGGATTTATTTGAATTATGGCCCTCTTTGACTTAGAAACTCAGTTAAAATTTTCATTCTTGTCCACTTGTTGACTTAACCATTTGAGATATTACTTTGGAAGTTGGAGTTCTTATGTGCCATCATGAGACCTATCTGTAAGCAAGAGAAGATAACTCTGTGAAAATGTTTCTTGATTTGTACTTAGAAATTCCTAGTTAAAGTCTTGTGTGCCCTTAACTGTCAAAGTTTTGTTTTATAGGCAAGCACTAAAAAAGTCGAGCGCGCTGTCCTTCTGACAGCTCTTGTTACTCACCTTTTCACTTATATATATAGAGTAGAATGTGTACATGGACTATGCAAACATACTCAAGTGTCTTCATTTAAATCTAAGATTTCATCCTTTTAAAAATCCTAATTATGCATACTTTATATGCAATTACAAGTTTAAAACATCTTCTTTGTATCTGACACTTTACAAACATTGAGACGGTTTTGAGATAGGTATCATTTACATTAACATGACTTACAATAGCACAATATTTTGCTTTAGAGACTTTACTGTTTTTTGTGTGATTATTTTTATTGCATCAATTAAAGAAATGAAAACCCAATTTAACTGCACATTTTCTTTCTCTATATATTGCTTAAAGCAGAAATAACTATCCACGTATTTACAAATCTTTTATATTAGAGGCATTCAAGCTTTCACAATTAAACTTACAGGTGTTTTATAATGTATTTATTTTATCATTTCATGCTTTAGAATGTATTTATTTATTTTATCATTTCAGGTAAGAAGTGAATTACAAATGTAAAAGTAGGCGTAGAATTTTGTGAACAAGCTGATTAAATCAACCTACGTTACAAGGAATATGCAGAACAGTTTCCTTATATATCTGATATATTTTAACAGGAACAATAAATTCAGAAACATCATCAAAGACAGCACAATTTACCTTCAGAGTGACATTAACTATTTAGCAGAACATTTGCAATGGGAAATCACGCATAATCTTGAGAGTGTCCCTTACAAAGACTCCATAGGTAACAAAAGAAGTCTTGAGAAAGCCCCGTTGAATGATAAGAAAAGTTGATATTTACGTAGCAAGATTTTGAACATTTGAAATAAAAAATTGAAATGTCATTAACTGTTAGTTGATAGGCTGTATTTTTTGAAAAGGTCAATATTAGTATGGCAATAAATCTTAGACATGACATTGCAAATAATTGAAAATATTTGATCTCCAAAGATCAAGTTTTGTAATTTGTTATTTATGAAGTTTCCAATATATAATTTATATTGTAAAGATGGGCTTTATTGAGGCATTGTGAAATGAATGAGCAGTCTTTAGAGAGGTGTGTACAATCTAATAGTTGAAAGAGAAAAATCTGATTTCGAGTGAGCATGAACTGTTTTAGTTATTGTTTGATGTAGATATGTTTCTTCAATGCTTTTGTGGCATTTTTAAGAAATTAAAGCATTCTTTTGGATCTAAATTTATTAAAAATTTTCTTAAGTGTTATTTTTTTTGTTTTGATGTGTATGAGAATCAAAGGAATTGTCAAGTGTTTTACTGCTTATTTCATTTTAAAATCTTTTTATGCACGAAATACTTTGCGTATATATCAAAGAAATTTCTTTATACAAGCTACAAATTGCGTCGTATAATTCCTATCAAACATCTAAAGTATCAATTTTCCGCAGGACAGATTTTCTGTGTAACACTTGGTTTACATTTCATTTTCTTCATTTTACAAGTTTTCTTTATGTGAGCTGCCTTTCTATCTAAGATTGGAATTAACTTCAAATGATATTATTACTGCACCAATGATTGAATCAACATTATCATTATGCTCATGCCATGGTAAATGGTGAGTGTATAAGTTGAAAGTCAAAAGAACTTTACTATGCTTAGATTGTTTTCAAATTTTATAGTCTCTTTCCCATACATAATCAATACAATACAATACAATACAATACAAATTACACTACAATACAGTTTATTTGCAGAATGTTGTTAGCATAATTACATGATTATATAAAGAACAATGAGAAATCATACCTTATGCCCCCACAATTGTTAAATTAGATTGTTAAATCATAAGATAAAAATCCCTTTTAGCTTTAATTGCCATATCTTTTGATTATATTTCCAATGTTGCAAATCTTTTAAACATTATGAATGAGCATTGTATTTGAAGTATGATAAATTTCGTGTACATTTGTAGGGTGTTAGTATAGAGAAAATAATGGGACTTTTTCTTTCTGGGATATGATTATGTTGTAACTTCTTAGCAGTGACCTTGCAGAAATTTAAACTTGTAAATGAAATAACTCTTGAAAATATGTAGAGAAACACATGGCATTATTTCTACTATATTTTTATGAAATAGAGGTATAGTTCATGATGATAAATAATTATATTGTGTTGAAAGTAAAATTATTACATTAATAATGAATGAAAGAGTTGCTTTTATCCATTTTTACATGTATTTTTATTGCTAAGGAGTGAATGGGAGATAGATTGATGATTTAGTCTTCCTTTAGTTATTATTTAGTATAATGTTATGTAATACATGATGTTAATTTCTTATGTTGTTGCATACTAAAAATATTTGAGCCGCGCCATGACAAAACCAACATAATGGGTTTGCGACCAGCATGTATCCAGACCAGCCTGTGCATCCGCGCAGTCTGATCAGGATCCATACTGTCCACTATCAGTTTCTTTCTTGTTATAGAGTTCGTAAGCGAACAGCATGGATCCTGATCAGACTGCGCGAAGGCGCAGGCTGGTCTGGATCCATGCTGGTCGCAAACACACTATGTTGGTTTTGTTTTAACGGCTCATGTTATACTAGAAACTGCATCTGTTTCCTGAGTATTTATGTATTGCTAATTGCTAATCAAAATTTATCTTGTGTGTAAAAGATAGAATATGTTATATTTGTGTGCCAACTGGACCCAAAGATAAGTTATAATATGACATACACTTAACATTAATTGTGTTGCACTTCAGCATGTACATTATCATAAACCCATTACTTTTTATAGACTAGATAAGATAAGCCAATAGACTTAATCCAGAATTAGAAATATTTTAGGTTTTTTTCCCCAGCTAAGTGGAGGGGTACAACAAATTTTTAGTTACAGCTTCGATAATAAGCACAACAGGTTGACTAATCTATTGTGAACAGTAGTGCACCGTGAAACTATAACAGTAAAAGTTTGTTTTTAGTAGGTGATTAGCTTGGAAAAACCCACATTTGCTGAGTTCGGAATAACATATGAGCCGCGCCATGACAAAACCAACATAATGGGTTTGCGACCAGCATGGATCCAGACCAGCCTGCGCATCCGCACAGTCTGATCAGGATCCATGCTGTTTGCTATCAGTTTCTCTACTTGTTATAGAGTTGTAAGCGAACAGCATGGATCCTGATCAGACTGCGTGGTAGTGCAGGCTGGTCTGGATCCATTCTGGTTGCAAACCCATTATGTTGGTTTTGTCATGACGCGGCTCAATTATATTACTACTATATTTAGATAATTGTTCTCTTTCCAGTTAAACCATTACTGTATAAATATGATATTTTTGGATTATGGCTGCAGTGCCGAAATCATTAGAATTATGCTTTCTTTGATTTTCAAAGAATTTTATGTTTGAATTTTTGAAGGGCCAAATTTTTATGTTCACAATGTCTAGCAAATTATGTGATGGATTTTTTCCTTTCAAGATACTTTGTTTATACCATCAAAAATTTATAAAGTAGGCCAATATGAGGTCTTGCTTACCTGGAAAATTGACATCACCCTAAGGATATGTTGGTTAAAAAAATTAAAAACAGGTTAATTTAAATACATTTTGTGGTAGTCATGTCATTAAAATACATGTATACCTGTAAAAATGGCTATTCAGTAAATGAAATAATGAAAATACTGTATAAGAATTAATTTTTTCTAAAGTTGATTTTTTTTTAGAGTATATAAGTATATAAGCATATTAAATGAATGTTTACATTAAAATACCCAGGAGGTATGGGTTTATCTCATTTTATTTCTCTTATACTGGCTGAAAATGACTTAAAGGCAGGACAGTGGCAAATGATAACTTTGATTTTTGGATTATTGGGTAAAACTTTGTTTTGTAATTATCAGTGGCATTGTAATACCCAAGTTAACCTTTACTTATTAAAACTTCCAAACACTTCGTTAAAAGATTTTGGGAATGTGTTATATTACATTACAAGCACTCGTATATGTATAAATTTTCAACAGATTGCAGTTAATGATAAGTTGTTAACAAATGCAATTTTACCATTTTACTTTACAAAAATTCCAAAAACTAACAGAATAGTAGGTGAAGAGGTTTATGCCTAGGGCCGGGGGGAATTATATTCAAATATTCGAAAACACTACCAAATTCGAACATTTGAAAAACGAATACGAATATTCGAAAAAAAAAAGTGTTTTCTTTTGTAATTACTTTCAAATTTCAATTTTAAGATAGCAAATTAAAACCATTGTACCTTTTACTTGACCAGTTGTTCACACGTTTGTATGACACGTCGTCAACGATTATTCGCCCAATTAACTGTTGAAAAAACTTTGGGTCTATAGTTTGATCAAAAGGGCACCCCGTTTCACAGTTTCAAATTTACCTGTTGAACAGAACTATAATGTAATATTCCGATTTTAAAATTTATCTTAAATTTATTGTGTTTCTGTTGCAATAATCTGGTCCCGATTAATCAGTCAGTTAAATGGTCTTAAATTTGTTTGAAGACGAAAAAATCGACACGTATTAATCGGTGTCTTTATGTAAGCATGGTCAGTTGTCTATATTCCGTCAAAATATTTTTATTCCGTAGAAAACTAAACTCCGTTGTGATATTTACTGCGTTATAGCTAAATGTTATCTGAAGAATATTTTAAACCTTATCTAAAATTATAAATAAATAATTCAAGTTAAGTTTCAATGTAAATTATGTGTTTTGGGGCTAAGAAGCTACGGTGATTCATATTACTGTCAATCAAGTCACGTGAGTTACCTACAGTTAATAAGACCATGAAGACAAATGACCAGCAGTCGGATTAACTGAACAAAAAGGCAATCAAATTATGAATTTATTTCAAAAGTAAACATTTATGTTGATTTACAATACATGTATATAAAATAAAAAAACTTTTACCGTAGTTATATAGGTATTTTTATTCGTGGATTATTCCAAAACATATTAAAATTGTACAGTATTTTGACGCAATCAATTTCGGATACGTATACGTCAAAGAGAAAATATTGGTACAAATGTTATAAAAAACGAATATTCGAATATATTCGAATATGGAAAACAAATATTCGAACATCAAATTCCTTATTCGTTCCCAGCCCTAGTTTATGCCTAATTATTTGAGGATAATCTAATTGTCGTTTTATCATTTATAATTTGTGTAAAGCAATTCTGTGAAGATCTTACGATAACTTTTACTTTGATGTCTCAATAGATCATGCTGAATGTACATGTAACACTATGCTATTAGAAAAGTACTTTGCTAATTATTATAAGAAAATACTAAAGATATATTTACTCATATTTTAAAGGTTTTAGCTAAAAACCACTTATAATCACGAGATCTCCAGTTCTTATACAACTGTAAATATATTAATTTCCAATAAACCTTTGTTGCATTACACTTCCACCTGTAAATGATGGCCACCTGAAGACCACAAACCATTGTTTGGTAAAATGGTTTATACTGGTCAGATTAGTCTCCCTTTTTAAGATGGAATGTCGGTGGTTCTACTCAGGTGCCCGTTCGTGCCTGAAATAATGCACGGAAAGGCCTACCTGAGGTCTTTCCTCCACCAATAAAGCTTGGAACGTCGCGATATGACCTTATACTGTGTCGACGTGACATAAAACCTAAAACAAACAAACAAAATTTTAAGATGATCATCAAAAGTTGGTGTATTTTTTACAATTATATATAAAAATGCTTTAAGTGTGTTTGTATCTCATTCTATATTTAAGTCATCTCAAATTTTGTTTCATTCTCATTGTTATGCCATTACCGCAATATATTGAAGTCAGAGATTTTTAAAAAAGAAAT